TCGGATCAGCGACGGTCGCGTCGTCCGATGCTCAGCGAACACCAGACGGCACAAGCTTGTCAGTTCCCAGAACGGTACAGAAAGCAATCCATATCTGAATAACCCAGCCTGCAACAACCGGTTGTTGACGGGAAATGCCAACAAACAACCCTCGCCGGGCCAGGCGAGCGCGGGGAGCTTCAAGAGCGTCCCGATCGATTATCGTCGGTAGAGAAGCGGATTATGTAATATGCCCAGCTCGGCCCCGGCCCGGGCCGGCGGGTGGCGTCCCCGGCCGTGCCGTGCCGTGCCGTGCCGTGCCGTGCCGTGCCGCGCCGCACCCGAGGCGGCGCCGAGCCAGACCACGTCAGAGGGGGCCGTCAGTGGCGCGCGACGCCCGGCCGTCGGCCGTGCCGACGGACACCGCGCAGAGTCCGCCCGGCCGCCAACACCCAGGAGTCATCGCTCGCCCTGCCGTCCCTCCTCGGAGCCAGGCGTGGCCTGCTAGAGTCGTGACTCGGGTTCCCGCGTCCCCGGGGAGTCGTGACTCAGCCTCGGGCGCCTCCCGTCGCTACCGGCACAAACAGCGGGAGCTGAGCGCCGCCGGCTCACAAACACAACCCGGAGATCTGACGCTTTTTGTGCGCATTGCCAGGGGATCTAGGCCACGCGAGAGTGGCCGCATCACTCAGCGCCCGCTCGTCCGACAACTGTGAAGAACGCACTGTTTGCGCTGGCGGCGGCCGACGCCGTCCTCCGGCGCCGGTGCCGGCGCGCTCCGAGAAGGCCCGCTCCCGGCCGGGCCTTCCTCACCGGCGGGAGCCTCGCAGGATCGACGCGGCCAGCGGCAGCGCGAGACTGACGCACGTCGCCTCGACGCACGTGTCCAACGCCGCTCAGAGGCTTGCGTCAGCCCGGGGATGGCAGCTGTCAAGCGTGATGGTTCAGGGGCGACAACGCGGGCGCAGGAAGCGCCGACGGCACGCGATGGCGCGGGACGGCAAGGCCGTGCACGAAGTGACGGCAGTCGGCTGACAGTTTTGGCCAGGAGCACAACATTCAACCCACGCTGCGGTCCGCGATAGGCGGGTGCACGTGTTCACGCCGTCGCGCTCCTCGGAAAACACGCAAAGCCAATTACAATCCGGATTTTGGACGGCCCCCGGCCTGGGTGGCTGCAGACAATGCTGAAAGCACCTGGGACTAAGTAACGCAACCTGAACTTGCAACGTGTTGAAGCGGAACGTGGCCGACCCGCCAAGCGGCGCGCCTGCCACGGGTCCAGGCGGGCGACTGGGGCGAGTCAGACTCCTCCCACTGAGTCATAGCCCGCCCGTCCGAGTCACCCGGTTCCGCGGACGCTGGCGGCACACGCCTCCCCCCGGCGGAGCCGCGCACCATCTGCGGACACCTGCGCCGCCTGCCGGCCGTCACCAACAGGTCGCGGCGCAGCTGCAGTAGGTCAGCGGAAAGGGGCGGCGCGCGCGCCGACGGCGATTTGAACAGCTCGTTTCCCGGGCCGGGCGCCGACCGACTGACCGGCTGCCAGCGCAGGACGCCGGCGGCGGCACGAGCGGGCCGCCGCCGGCCGAGGCTGGCGGGCTGGAGCGCCGGCTGCCGCGCTCGCCCGGCCCACCCCGCCGGCCCGCTCCGTGGACACCCGTGTCGCGCTGAGAGCCGCCTCAAGCACCTGGCACCCGTCTCGGTGACGGCGGCCCGCCGCGCCAGGACATCGCGTGACAAAGCCGTCACACAGCACTTCTACGAAAGCCTCGGCTCTGGAGAGCGGGGGACATCGGCGTGGGCACTGCTATTCCGAGATTCCAGGGCGACTCGCTGCCAAATGCCGACGCGTATCTGTGACGCCCGTTGTCCGTGACAATTTACTACCGTGCCAGCACTCTGGCCATGACTCACCGCAATACAACAGATATTCATCGCTTTCAGAAACTACAATCGTCCGTGTCAAAAAGACGCATTGGCGAGCGGACGCAAGCTGGTTATCAAACGGCGATACAGCTCAATCGACAATGGCTGGCCGCAGCGAATTGCGCGCTCGGATCAAAGGTTCAGCGATTTGCAACCCCGTGCAGCGATGCCAAGAGTTGGCCCCAGTCTTGCGCTAATGAACACTGAATGCCAGCGGCCATACCGACAGCTCGCTTTCGTGCATAATTCATCATCTCCAAAAATCAACACCACGATCACGCGCAGCCATAATTGGCCGCTGCCGTCCCGCGCCAGCCTTTCACCTCTCAGTCCTGTCCGGTCAGGGCCTGAGCACAGGCGCCGCAAGGGACACTTCCTCCGTCTGTCCCAACGAGGCCGCGGGCGTCAGCGGGCCACCTGCACCGCCCCCGCCCGTGAGCGCGGCCGGGGCGCGCGCATCGCCGCCGACGGCCGGCCGCTGCTCGCCGCCGCACGGCTATTCGAAGCCAGCAAGAATCGCGTTTCCACATATCTGGCGGGCATGGCCAACGAAAACAGGGGTCGACCCGGGGGGTGGGCGGGTGGGTGGGCGAGCGGCCGTGCCGGCGGCGCGGCGTGCTCGTAACGCGCCCAATCAAATAAGCCGCCGGCGGCCGTTGTTTGTTTTCAGGCGGCGCCGACGGCCGGTCGGCGACGACACGTCGGGCGCGCGCGCGCACCGCCAGCGACGCCGCGCGCCCTGTCGACCGGCCTCGCCGCTCGCCACCCTGTCCCGCATTGTCGCGGCAGTCACCACGCCCGGGGCCAGACACTCAGGCTGTCCCCGACAGACTCGGCGCGTCGCAGGCCGGTCCGCGCGCCGCCGACGCCCCGATGATGGGGCGGTGACGCCGCCGGGGCGTCCCGAGCGTCCGCAGGTGACGAGCGTCACACGCCGCTCCCTCGGGCCAAGGGCGCCGAGACGAACGGCCGCTTTCTGGTCATCTGTCAACGCCGCTGATTGTGACTGAAACAGCGGACGCCTGCCGCACCAGACCGACACGCGCCCTCCAAATGGGCTTGCACCCGGCATAAAAACGCGCGTGGTGGGTGGATGCCACGCACTGGTCCGGGCATATACGACGTGCGAGACGGCACCAAAAACTGCACGCGGCCGGCCGGTTCTTCGGCGACGGGAGCCCGACGCGTCTTTTTGTATGAGCTTCTTATCCGCCAGCTGACCATTGCCGGCAGGGAACGGGTCATCACCTGGGCCGGCAGGCCGGCGAGTAACGGACACGGGCACACGCCGGAGCCGTGTCCCAGTGCAGGTCACCAGTCTGGCCACACAACCCGGACACAACGGGGCCTGCCGAGTCCGGTTAGGGACGCGAGGCCGCAAGACCCCACGACCAACAGGCCCTATGAAGACCCGCCAGGGGCAGGGGCGTGCGTACGTAACAGTCACGGGGCACGTGCCCGCTTACCAAATTTATGGCATTTGCTGATTTGTTAACAGATATGCTGATATTTCCTGATATGCTGATATGTTAAACTAAATACCAACAGGTAAAATCTCCGGGTACACCCGTAAAAATAAGATACGAGCACATGCCATGTTTTGTCACCCCACCTAGGTTTTCAGCGGCAATTTTTCAGTTGTGCTTGCCCCCTGTGTAACCTCGCACACGTCCCAAGTCAGGAGGGACCAGCGAAGGCGGCAGACGTGGACCGGGGAGCGACGGGCGTACCGCGAGAGTCGCCCGTCAGCGCGGAGGGGTGTCGGGCGGCGAAGAGCGGCGAGGACCGGCCAGGCTTGCTCGCGGCCGGCGTCCGCCCACCAGACGTGTCGATCCCGGTCCGGCGGTGCCGACTCGGCCGCCGGGCCCGGCCGGCCGCTGCTCAAGTGGCACAGCCTGCTCCCTCCACCGGCGCCGCAGTGACCTTTCACCGCCGGCCGACCCATACGGCCGGCCGGCCAGGCGGCGCGCTGAATAGAAATCAGCCGCATCGGACCATCATCGGTCGGCCGCTGGCGCCGCCTGCCAAACTCATCTGCCAATTTTCGGTCGGCGGGCGCGCGGCATACAGGCCAGGCGTACGGCGAGCGCGGCCGGGCGCCCGGTGTTGCAACGCGGCGCTCGCGCCGCCGGCGGGGACGCGGACGCGCCACTCCCGCCGGCCGAGCCGTACTTGGTACGCGTCCGCGGCGGTGACGCCAGCTCAGTGCTGACGTCACCCGCTAACGACGTCACGTTCGCCGGCACGAGATCACGGAGGCCGGCCAGACGTCGCGCGAGGTGAGTATTTTTTCACCGAAGGCTCAGCGGCTTCTCGCGACGCCTCTCCAGCCGGTGCTGGGGACGGGGGACCGGTCCGAGCCGCGGCCAGCCAGGCAAACACGCCGGGCCCGCGCCGCACGCCGCCCACATCGACACGCGTCACTCGCAGAACTCCGCCCGCCCGGCCCGGCCGAGTCGGCTCTCCGATTCTGCCGGCCGCGCCGGCCGGCAAAAGTCGAGCTGATAGCTCCACTGGGTTGTTGACCCGTCCCTCTCCACGGACGGCGACGTCCTCACGACAAGCTCGAGTTTCGTGCGATAACATCAGTCTTATAATCAGACGACCATTAGACGTAACATTGACAGATCAGCTTGCAGAGCTGTTAACACCCAGGCCGCCGGACAGGTAACTTTGCAACATGAGCCCCAGGGGAGGTAGCAGCGGTCGAATAACGTGGTCTGTCCTTCCGCGACTCGCACGAACGCTTGCACCGCGGGACCGTACACCCAAATAACACATTCCTTGTGTCTAATACACCGGCTTGGAGCATCTGCCGGTGTTGTCGCACGGGCTCCGTCATGTCAAACCCGGCTCCGTTCCACGCAAAGCCAACATCGAACCCTCTCCGCGCTGCAGTTTCTCTGCTAGAGCCGGCGACGACGTTCTAGTCGGCTGGGTGAAGGCGCTGGGCCTTCCGCTTCCGCGTGAAATCGATACGCTCCCGCGTCCCCACACAGCCGGACCCGCACGCAGTCAACAGCACAACAGGCTGCCTGGGCGGGCGTGGCCGCCGGGCGGCGGCGGCCGGCCGTCCAGGTGGCGCTACTCACGTGTCGCGCTCGCTGGAGCTGCCGAACAGCAGCTCGTAGATCTGCGGTCCCACGTTCAGGTTGTGCAGGATGAAGAAGGCGCGTTTCTCTGCAACAAGAGCGGGTGTGAGCGGCAGCCGGCCGGCGGCGACGTCAGCGCACCCTGCCGCGGCTGCTGACGGTCGGAACGGCTACAACCCTCGGAGCCGGGACGCGACTCGGTCGCAGCGGGGCGCCGGGGGCGGTGACTCCGCATCCCACAGACACGGGTCGAGGGTCGGCCGGCCGGGAGCGGCCGCCGTCTGCAGACGGTGGGCGCCGGCCATCCGAGCTCAGCTCACCGGCCGCCGCCGCAGACTCGGTGCCGCCACCCCACCCGCGTCGCTCCCGGTTATCGCTGGCCCGCCCACCATATCGAAGCCGTCCAGAAACGCTAGCAATCAATACACTCCCGGCGGCGCTGGAGGGCCGGCGCGCGGCGTGACGACCTTCGCGCGGCGCTCGACCGCCGGATCGTGAGATGACTGGAGACTGCCCAACAGCCCCGCGTCGTGCCGGAGAGAATGGCACCCAATCCACCAGTGTCGCGGATCTGGCCAGACTGTCACGCTCAAGGGGCCCACGTACGACCTCAATCTACGTTACCGCCGAAGGGAAGCGTAGCCCCCACCCCCGATCCGGGCGTCCCCGGATAACCTGGAACCCGGCCTCCTGGCCAGGCGACCCTTCCCAGAATGATCCCGAGCGGCTCCCAGAAGGCTGACAGCACCTCGGCACGCTATGCAAATGCCTTGACTCACAAAATGCCGAACAGCGAGACGAACGCCCCCGCGGGCTCGGCGCCACTCAACGACCTGCTGGCGGATAGCTGCCGGATTCCTGCAGCTCCGCTCGGTCACGGCGCTTCCGGCGGGCGACTGGCGGCCGCGATTCCCGCAGCTCGAGCCGCCGGCGGCTGCCGCGCGGATACGATTGGACCACTTCAAGCCGGCGGACGGCGAACTTCCCGCCACAGACCCATTCGCCGCGCCCCGTCGGCCGCGCGCGAGGGACGGCCCGGGCGGTTGGGGGCGGGGCCGCTGACCTGTCAGGCGCGGCCCGGCGGCCCGGCCGGGGTGACCCGGCCCACGCCCGCTCGATGGCGCTCAGTGGGCTCCGGCCGACCGTGAAGCTCGCCCACACCCCAGAAGCCGTGCAGGCCCGGTCCCAAACGGTCACCGCAAGCGGGGCTGCATCCGGCACCAGGTCGGATCCAGCCGGGTGAGGTCTTCTCCACACCAGGGTATGCTCCGACCTCTGCAGCCACTCCTCCCCCGAAACGTTGGCAGCAACGTTCGCTTGTAGCGGCAGGCCAGAGCGCACAAGGGTCCAGTAGTCACAGTGCGACCGGCACCCGCAGTCACAAACAGCGGGCACGGCACGCAGCTCGGCGTGCGCCGAGGACGAGAGGGGCGGCGTCGCCTCGCGGCAGCTGGGCTTCCGTCCGCACCACTCACCTGTGGCCATCGGACGGACCAGGATGTTCTCGTTCTTCACGATGGGGCTGATCTCGCGGCCGGTGACGGTGTGGAACTTGAGGACGTACTTGTCGTCCTGCTTCTGCAGCAGCACGATGAACTCCTCCAGCAGGATCATGTGCAGCTCCACGTGCTTGCCCTTGTTGCTGAACTTCCACATCACGGCGCCCTCGTGGATCATCCGGTACTTGGTGAGATCAAGTCGCTGAAAGGAGCAGCACCCAGCGCTGAGATACCCACAAGCACGATATCATCCAGGCATCTATCAAGTTTAATGTCATAGCGGCCTCGCCTCATCCGAATCCCATTTGACGTTACCAACTACTGCACAACACCAGCAATGCATCCCAGATGCCCGTTCGGGCTCGCTAAATTCCCAGATTACCCGGACTTCACCACACGTGACTGGCAGTGGCCCAGCCTACGGCACCAGCGGCATGGTTGGCGATTGCCAGACCTGGTCACGGTACCCCGCTCGCCACCCAAACACACCCACCCGAAACAAACAGCGCTCGGCTCACGTCAGAAAAGGCCCAGCGTCACACTGTCTGCATGTCCGCCCCGCTCCCTGACGCGCCTGCTCGGAGACAGTCGACCCGACGCCGCCGCGCACCTCGAGCCGGCGGCCCGTGGCAGGGCGCCGCCGGCCGCGCCGCTCGCTCCCGGCGGCGCAGCGTCAGCGACGCCGCACGGCTTGGCGGGCTCGGGTCGCGCGCGCCGGCAAGGAATGTGTCATATTGAGGAGCGCGGCGCGGCGGCTCGGTCGGCGCACGGCAGATGAGACGGCCCGGACGAACGCGGCCGTTCGTCAAGCCGACGCCCCGTAACGGCAGAACATCCGGCGCCCGGTCACCCCAGCCCGGGATGCCTGGCCGTCCCAGATCCGCCGCTACCCACCACCCGCCGGCACCAGGTGACACCACCACCACCGCCCACCGCCCGCCCAACGCCCTGCCGCCAGCTACTCACGCCGTTGAACTCGTTGACGATGGGGTTGTCGACCCGGGTGAAGCCGTTCTGTTCGAGCTTGTTCTGGATCTCGACGAGGCGCTCGTGGCGCTCAGTCTCGCCTTTCACCTGCGGGCGCGGCTCGGTGTCAGCGGCGTCGGCCCCCAGAGTGCGCCGACACCCGACACCGCACCGCTGTTCGGCTCACACACGGCCGGCCGGCCGGGGGCGGACCGCGCGGCGCCCCGCCCCGAGGCGAGTCCGGCCGGCGGACCGGACAGCAACGGCCACCGTCGGCGAAGTGGACGCTTCCATTCTCGTTTTGAACACAGCTGAGCCTCGTCATCCCACATCTCATCTCGGCGTCAATGCCAAATTATCAATATCACATGTCACCAAAGCTACGGTTCACATTAACGCTGTAACGTCGGCTTCTTAAGCGTGATACCCTAAACTTCTAACGTGTCACCCGGCGGCTGCGACCACTAGCACACAAAGGACACTCGGCCCCCTGCAGCCTCTGCCTCTGCCCACCTTATTGACGTGCTCCAGGATGGCCTTGCTCTTCTCGCAGGCGCGCAGCACGAGCGCGTGGTCCTCGGAGCCGCGCACCGTGTACTTGGCCAGGTTGGTCAGCAGCAGCGGGTACTTGGTGAGCCGCTGCATGGCCGTCGGCAGGATGTCCTTGAGCTGGAGCCGGCGGCACACCGGGTCGCTCTCGGCCTCGGACAGGAACGCCGCCAGCCGCTGGTCGCGCTTCTGCAGCGACTTCAGCTTGTCGAGCGCGATCGACTGGCAGCGGCAGAAGGCGGCCGCCGCCGTCTTGAAGCTCTCGCCCGACTCGCCTTCGAACTGGACGGGACGGGGGCGGCGCGCGGTCAGCAGGCGGGTCATGGTGAGGCGGCCAGCGTGGCGCACGCGCCGGCCGGCAGGGGCCGCCTCCGGCCGCTACCGGCCACCGATCGGCAAGGCTTGATGACAGAACGGTCCGATTACGCGGGCAAGGCACACACAGACAGTTGGTTAACATACCATCGCATGGGTGGGGTCTAATGACAATGCGACAGGGCCTTCGCGTGGATTGCATGCCATCCAAATTCGGCGTCAACGAAGTTGTCCATACCGTTCGGAAGCAACGCTCCGGACACCCAAAAGCTATAAAAAGACGCAGGCTTCAGTACAGAACTTTTGCCGACACTTACCATACTGATGAGGATATCGCCCACTTTTTCCATCATGGGATCCTCTTTTTGTCGCTTTTTCATTGCTGAGTTGAACCTTGAATGAATCTCCAACAATTCTTCGAGGTTACCTGATGACAAACAGTAAGTCAATATCCCGCTGACACCGCCCGGGGGAACGGGAAACGGGGAGCCGACAGCAGAACAAAAGCTGGCGGTACTGGGAAGACCACGACCACGACCACGACCACGAAGACCACGACTCGGCCACGACTCTCAAACAGCTGAGCAGCTCTCACCGAACAGCAGATTGATGTCGTTGGGCTGCAAGATGTTCAGGTTGATCATCGGGCGGTTGAACAGGTGAACCAGCACCTTCAGGTTCCGAACGTGCGTTCTCTCTGTGTGAAACAGCTCTGGAAAATGCCACAATGTCATCAGTACAGAAACACCTAGTGTACACCAACGGTTCCATCCGAACACATTATCAACTGCCGGAACGGGTGAATACGGACTGGCTTTCTGGCGCTGGCCACTGCGGCTGCCGGCTAAACGTCACGTCTGAGCAGCAAGTCACGAACACAGTTACTGCCCGACGCGCACATTTCTCGGCGCCATCCATTCCGTGATCCCGGCTGCGTCCCGTGACCGCGGCCGGGGCCGGTGCCGGGGCCGGCGCGCGCGCTCGGCGGCCGCGGCGCGTCACAAAGAACGCGGCCGGCCTCCAGCTGATGGGGCGCGGCCGGTGCGGCGATCGATGGCCACCGGTGCGGCGCCGGACGGCCCCACTCACGCGGGCCGCACATCTCGCATGCATTGATCGGACCGCAGTCAGTCCCCGCCCCCGCCCGGGCCCGCCGCCCCACCTGACGCCGACACGGCCGGCACACAGTCCGGCCCGGCGGCCGGCGGGGCCCGCGGGAGCGCGACGATCCGCCCGGATACACCGCCACACCGCGGCCGCCGCCCCCGCGCGACACGGCCGCATCATGAGACGGCCCAATGCCGCTTGCAAAGGTCAACAGCATACTTCTCGCCGAGCAAAGCGTGGCCGCAGATGTCTTCACGGAAGAACCAGCCATACTGCGCGCCAAGCCAGAGCATCCATTGGATGACGCTTAACCATGCCCGCGTTTTCAGGGGGCGTTGCAGCACTAAATCAGTCCCTCGCACATAGGGCGGCTTATCTGACAAGCGGCAATTCCGCACGGCTTTGCAGCTGCGGCCCCACAGACGAGCATCCATCTGTGAGAGGATGGCGTGCATCGGCGGCGCAGTAAGGTGCGATTCCCGGCTTGAGTCCAGCCAATGCCATTACTGAAGCGCTCGGGCAGCCGACGGCCAGTGACCGAGTCGGCCGGCAGACGCTCGCGCCACTTCCGCATCATCCTGCGCGGTAGGCCCCACGGAAGCGGTTGGACCACTGGCAGGCGCTGGGGGGTGACCGGGGAGGGGGGGGGAGGGGGGCCTCAGACTCCGCTGACCGGGACCGCCTCCCCCGCCCTCCTCCCGCGTGCTCCGCCGCCGCCGAACAGCGCGACCGGGTCTCCTCTCACCGTTGACGACGTCGAGCCGCTGTTTCTCCTTGGGCCGCAGGTGGCGGCGCACCTCGGCGTCGATGGAGCGCTGCCAGTCGGGCGGGTCGGCGTCCACCTCCATGTCCGAGTCCCAGCCGGGCGTGCCCTCGGCCAGCGTGCCGGCCACCCGGCCGCCCACCGACACGCTGTCCAGTGACGCCGACGGACTCTCCTGGCTGTCGGCACCGCAGCGGAACACGTCACAGACGGGCCGCCGGGTGGCCGCCGGTCCCGGCAGCCGGCGCGGGCAGGCGACATCAGGACACGGGGTGACAGCACCGACGAGCTCCACTGGCTACCGATGCTGCATGACAGCCCCGCAGACGGCTGCAGCGCACTCCTCGACGCTGATCGGCCGCCCGAGCACCCGACTGCCGTCACTGTCGAGCGATCCCACACACGTCCAGACGGCGGCACGGCAAGGACAGGACGAGACAAAGCGAACGCTTCGGCACGGCGAGCGGCCCTCAAGGCGCCGTCACACCGACGGTGGTAGTCGGAAAGAATCTGCCCACAGTTCCCGCTAAAACGTGCAAAAATATGCCATCGCAGTCGCGCTATGGCTCGATGTCATTGTGGCGCACATCAGGGACGGCTCCATCCATCGGCTCGCTGCACGGATACACGTTACGAAACCTTAGAAAATACGCCAATATTTGCATATTCCCACGGCAAACGCTGTAGCCGGAGCAGACGTTTCTTGACGGGCCCGTCTCAAGACCCCAGCCAGTGAAATCCTCGCGAGTGGCGGGCCGCGGCGCTGGGACAGGTCCCGGCTCAGGGCGGCCGCCCGCGGCCCGCTTCCGGCCGTGTCCAGGTCGGCGCCGGCGTCTGCACGTGGCCGTGTTATTGTCCACAATACGGGGAATCAATTGTGCATCATCTGGCCGGCGCTGGTCCAATATTTGCCGGCGGCCGACCGCCCAAATGGCCGTCGGCCACACAGAGGCAGAGCAGGGCGCCGCGGGCGGGCCGTTACACGGCGGCGGCGGCGGCGGCCACCGGCGCCCAGCCGGCTGCCGGCAGCGGCCGCGGTCGTCACGGCGGCAGCGGCCGCGGGGACGACAGACCTCACCCTCAATGCAACCAAGGCAGTCGAGGCACGGCTGCCCTTGGGTCAAGGTCCGAACACAAATGGTAAACAAACAAGAGTCGTTGGTGGGATGTTCCAACGCTGCAGGAAACGACTCTTGCCACACTGTCCGCATTGATCGGAACATCTGTTCACAAGCCTCAAACCTGAACACTTCACGCTAGGAACAACCTCACAAATGTTTCACGACCACGTCGGCCCTACAAAATTTACATGACTGTCCAAAACACTCCCGTTTTGACCGTCGGTCAATCAGCGGCACCCGCATAAATGGCTCCGACCAATCAGCGCGCCGTCGCCGGTCTGACCGCACGAGCGGCGGTGTGACCCGCCCGGCGGTCGGCGAGCCGCCCGGCCGGCCGGTCCGGGGCCTTGACTGCACGCGAGGCCACCCGGCCCCGTCGCCGGCCAAGATAGCCGCGCCCGCCCGAGATGTGCCGGGAGCGGCCGGCGTCGGACGGCAGGCCCGCACGGCACGGCGCCGAGCTATCGGAGGCACAGCGCGTGATAACCGCGCTATTGACATGCCGCAATTAGCGCGGAGAGGTCCGCCGGGCCGGCGCTCGAGGAGCGCGGGTCAATGGTACGCGGCCTGGACACGCCACGACTCTGGCCGAATCCGGGCACAGGACAGGACGGGTGGTGAGCAGGTGCGCAACGTCCGCTGACTTTGAGCGAGAACGAGGGCGGGCAGACAAAACCAACGTGACCACAAGCCTCCCCGGCCAGCATTAACACGCATCACCAACACATTCAGGCCGCACCATGTCAGGACCTGGCGGACAACACAACAGACACAGGGCGCTGGTGGGCGGGCGGCGCCGCGCGGTGGAGCTCGTACCGGGCAGAGAGGCTGGAGTTGGACGAGCTGCCCGAGTGGTTGTTGTTGCATAGTCCCTGGCTGTCGAGGTCGACATCGCTGCAACAGAGGGGGAGGGCGGCGTCAGTGTGGCTGCGGGTCGACCAGGCCGGGCGCCGCCGGCGGCGCGGCAGGGCGACAGATAACAGTGACGCACGACAGAGGCCCGCGGCGGCGGGCCGGCCGGGACGCGGCCTTGACCGGCACGATAAGGCGGCGGCGCCGAGCTCCGCCGTCCGTGGAGAGGTCAGCCGCCTCCGCCGAGCCGCTCGCCCCAGATGCCCTCTTCTGCTCAGCGTAGGATGCAGTCCCACACATGGGAGCGGATACGCGCGATGGGGAAGGACGAACGCTCTGGCAGCAGCCTGCCGCTAACACCGACGGAAGACCACCGGCCGGAAACAATCGGACGGGGGCGAGATGCGTCCGGTCCCGTCTGGCCTCTGTCAGCCACACTGGCACAGTCCGATCCACTGTCTCGCAGGCCGGCGGTGGAGACGCCGCCGGCGAGAGCTGATGTTCGGCGGCACCTGTGCCCCTCCGGCGGCAAAGACACGCCCCTCCAGCGGCGGCGGCGGCGGCGGCGGCGCCACCCACCTGTCGTCGCTGTCGTCCGAGTCGGAACGCGACGCATCGCTGCCGTCGGACACCGTGAAGAGCCGCTTCAGCCGGCGGATCGGCTCGGCCATGGCGCGCGGCGCCGGCGGCGGCGGCGGCCCGCTGCCGGCCGACGCCGTCACAGCCGCCGGCCCGGCCAGCCGCCGCACTCCGAGCCGGCGGGGCGGCCGAGCGACGGGAAGCGGTCGCGCCGCGAGTCCGTCCGCACACTGACGCCGAGCTCAGCGAACGCGGACGGCCGACGGCCGGACCGGTTCGCACGAGCTGCGCCGGCCGGCCGACCGCGGGAGCAGGCAGTCAGGCCGCCACTGGCGGCGGCAACGGTGGCGGCCGTGGCGGCAGTGGCGACAGCGCGGCCGCCATCGATCGCCGGCGTGAGAACGCCGCACGCCCGGCCGGGCGACGGCCGGCATCATCGCACGCCTGCCGGCCGCCCACACGCCGCGGTCACGGAGCGCCGCCACTCCAGCCCGGCGCGCGCAGCCGCGTCTGCCGTCCCCGGACCGTCTCCGGCGCCGGGCTCGCCGAGCCGTCAGCGGGCAGGCGGCGCCAGCACCCGCAGCCTGACGCCCCTGTCCACCCCACCCCCGTGCAGCAGCGGCACCACAAGGCTGACCGCAAACGCGGGAATGTTGTCCTCGGCATGCCTGCCCCGGCACGGCGGGCCGCGCTCCGCCCACTCAGTTCCGCCGCGCGGGCGCCCTTCGGCCAAGCCGGCAACCGCGACGCAACAGCGCCGCCGCTCCGGAGACACCATCGTCGCGGCGCGGAAGACAACGGCGAGGAAGACAGCGGCGCGGAAGACAGCGGCGAGGAAGACAGCGGCGCGGGCCGATCGGCGGCCCCCATTAGCGCCTCCGTTTGGCGCCGGCAAGGCACACACTTGGCGGGCACCGAGCCGACAAATGGCTCATCTGGGCCGCGCGACGGGCCGCCTCGTTACCGGGACGGCCGGCGGACGGTGAGCGGCGGGCGGCCGACGGCGGCCCAACGGCGACGGCCGCCAACACGTCCGGAGAGGTCCCTGGTCCCCTGGACCGACCCCAGCCCTGATGGAGCGACTCCGGCTGACCCCCGGTCGGTCGGGCCATGTCCTGACCGGGAATCTGGAACACCCACCTTCAGCTGACTCCACATCCGGAGTCGACTCGAGTCAATCGCGACCAACTGCAGCGCCGCTTTGCACCGGCCCGGCGAGGGTCGACGCCGTTTATGAGGCCGGCACCGACTCCCAGCCGGCCGCGACCGACCAGAGCTCCCGGCGGCCCGCTCTAGCAATCAGGCGGCGGGCTGGATCGAGCGCCGATGCACTCAATCCGCCGGCAGCCTTGACATTTCCGACGCGCGGCGCCAAGCGTCCGCCGGTCGGCCGTAGCGGCGCGGCTCGGTCGGCCGCCGGAGCGACGTGCCGCCGCCCAGTCCTCCGCCACCACCCGGTCACACAGTTCGCTGTCGGACACCGCACGCCACCGCTCAGCACTTGGCCGCGCGCGCCGCCTCCGGTGGCGGCCACCGGAGCCGCCGGCCGCCGGCGCGTGAAGGAGCCCGCCGGCCGGCCGACCGGCGGCACTGACACCGCACCGGACGTCGCCCGTCGCCGGGGCAGAGGCCGGTGGCCACCCACCTGCGGATCAGCTGGGAGCGCGGCCTGCCGGAGGCCGGCGACTCGGCCGCGGCCGCGCCGTTCAGCGACACCATCGACTTGGAGCGCTGGAAGAGCGGCCCGAGCGAGTGGAGCATAGCTGGCGACGGCCGCGGCGCGCAGCCCGCCGGCCGACAATCTCGGCGGCCGATACAGCGACGTCGACCGCCCGCATCACGCCGCCGCGTCCCGCCACCTGATAACGCCGTCCGTCCGATGCTGCCGCGCGCTCGCCAGCGCCGCCGACGCCGCCCAAACACACTTCCGGCGCTGCGGCTATTTCGAGGGGGCATTTTTTCGCAGCGGTGTATTTGGCGGCGGCGGCGGCGCCGGCATACACGGGGCGGCCGGCGCTCCGAAACCGCGAACCCGTCAGACGGCCACGTCAAACCACGAACGGCCACGTCAAACCACGAACGGCCACGTCAAACCACATATTGGCGGCCACATATTGGCCACGTCAAACCACATACTGGCCACGTCAAACCACATATTGGCGGCCGCCGATCGCTGCCGTGTCCCAGTGACGTCACGCCGGCGACGCCTGGCATGGCGTCCGGCGCGGGGTGGGTCCGTCACCACACTCCTGGCCGGAGGCTTTTCCGCACTTGGGGTCATCGCGCCCCCCGCGCGGATGCCCGCACCAATCACAAGGCCACGGGATAGTGACCGGCTGGTGAGCGGACACGGCGAAGGGCGCGCGATAGCCCGGTGCCGGCGCCGGGCCGAGGGCGACCGGCACTGCGCTGCTTCAGCCGGCCGATGGAGACGCGCTGCAGAACTGGACGGCGTCATCCGGCCAGCGGCCCGGCCGCCTAGCGCGGCGGCCGCAGCCCAGTGCCGACGACACCGCGTCCCAGCACCACGAACCGACCAGCGCCACCGCTAGGACCGATGACGACGGGGACCTATGTCACCGCTCGCACGGGCTAGCGATGCCCGTGGACGGGAGAGGCAGCCCGATGCGGCACACGACACGCCCGCTGATTCTGACCTGATTGGCCGAGCACATCGGACTGGATTTAAAACAGCGTACGCCAGGCGACAGTGGAAGCACATGTCACGCAACGTTGGAAATCACCGGCATGCAGCACCGGCCTTCTCCTGGCCTGTCGCCCATCCTGATGGCGCAGCCCCGCCACCGCCACTCCTGATGACGTGCCAACACATGGACAACGGGCTTGCTTTGGCGACCGTCCACCGTCGGTTGAGTAGTTCATGCAGAAATGACACACAACTGGCTTTGATACACCATCATCAACGCAGAACATACACGTAAACGGACCATGACAGTGACAGGTGACCGTCCGTGAACCAATTTCCTTTCATCTCGTGGCGTAAATTGTTGAACGTAAAGTTGACATGAGTGAGCAGCAGCCACAAATCTTCGCTGTGGGTGCTTTACGCCAAGGCCACAGGAATAGCACAAGCTAGAGCGCTGCACGCAAACGAAAATTATTCTCGTTTCGTATCAGTGGGATGTAACGGGCATGGCTAAGGGAAAGCACGTCAGTTTTGCACGCTGAGATAGAAAATGCGATAAAGGCAGGTCGAATTAGAGCGCAATTACCAGCTGACAAAATTGTGGCGTTGACGCCACCTCATATCCGTTCGGCCCGCGCGCCCCATAAAACCCGCCGTCCTATTGCCAATTGGCGTCCAGGCGCCGGGGTCGGTCACCGGGGTGCCGGCGGGCTTTTGCGAACACTGGCAGGACGTGTACCCTCCCCCACACCCCGCGCACAGCCGGCCCCCTCTTCAGGCGCCAGCCCCGGTCCAGGGGAGCAGTCGCGCCTTGACCGTGACCGACAGCCAGCCAGACCACCTCATGCTCGGAGCTGCGGCATGGATGACAGGGGCATGCGAGCAGCGGATGAGCGGGGGCGGCGCGGCCGCCTCAGGCCGTGGGCGGTGCGTGCCGTCGGACGCGCAGACCGCCTGTTTGCCCGCAGGTAACGAGAGCCGGCCGGGAGTCCCCCGCCGTGCGCCGTTTACACACGGCCCGTAAACACGGGGCGTGCGCCGGCGCCGGCCGCCGTACCTCTCGGAGAAGGCGCGCCGCGCCTCGGCCAGCGAGGTGGGCAGCGTGGCAGCGCGCCGCTTGCCGCCGCTGAAGGAGGTGTGTCGCTCGGCGGAGCGCATCGCGGCGCCGCCGGCCGCCGCTCGTTTCTTGAGGTCGCGCTCCGACCGCTGCCAACGTCCCTGGTCCCGCCCGAGTGGCCCGTGTCGCTCACACCGCACCTCACCAGCGAGAGTTATCTGCTCAGGCCGGCCGCTCCGTCGTCACTCGGCAGCGGCGCCTTCGACCGTCGCACAGGCACAGCCGGCAGGCGGCGTCACCGGCGACCAGCCACCCTCCCGGCACAGGGACGGCACCGCACCTCGTGTCGGCGCCGCCACCGGCGACTCGCGCCGACCGTACCGACGCGACACCGCCGGCACAGACCAGCGTCCGGCCGGCCACCGCCTGCGACCGTCCGCCCTCGTCACACGCGCCGCAGGTGCGCCGCGTCCGCCGCCGGCGACGTCGGCCAGCGCCGTCGCAAGCGGTGTCCACCGGCGGACTGGTGGCGGCCGCGGCCGGTGGCGTCGGCGCCGCCGTCAGCGGCCGGTCGCCGTCGGTCCTGATTGGGCGCACAAAGGGCGGCCGGGGTCGGGGCGCGGCCCAGCCAGCGGCGCCTCGGCCGCTTATGAGAGCGGAGCGCCGCCGCGCCGGCCGCGATCGTTAGCCAGATTGGCAGGGGGTAACGCACCATGCAAACACTATCGACGCGTCGGCCGTGGCGCCCGGCCGGCGCCGGCGCCGGCGGCGGCGACGGCGGTGGCGGCGGCAGCAGCGACGCGCGCGCGCACCGGCCGGCGCGATAGCGAAAATATTGACTCCACGATACGCCAGCTATTTATCCAGCACTCTACAGAGATTCGGCGAAAGCTAGCGTCCGGGAGGCGCGGCCGGCGGCCAGAGGCCGGGAGGCGGCGGGCCGGGCCGCTCGCCGCACCAGATGACACGCCGGCGTCGCTTCAGCACCGGCCGGCGCAGCGCGCGGCGAGGACGGGCCTGAAGCCGGACTCACTGGCGGGCCAGAGCCGAGGAGCCGGCGGCCGAAGCGCGGCGCCGGCCCGACCGTCGTCCCTCACACACGACCGCGACGGCACTGGTCGGTCGGCCTGGGCGGCCGGGTCGCGGGACACTGGCCAGCTGGCAGCGCCGGCCGCCGGTGCCCGCCGACGTCTGGCCCGGCCGGGCCGCCGCGCACAGCGGGCCGGCCCAATTAGCTCCCGTCGCCGGCCGGTCGCGCGCCGCCTCCCGCCACCGCCGCCGCGCCCGCGCTGTCTCCGACGGCCAGACCTGCCCCCACGGCCGCAGTCGATCCCGAGGACCAGTCGAGAACAATGCTAATGCCGGTCCCCCAGCACCGGAATCGTCAACGACAGTCCCTCCACCGACGCGCCGGCCGCCTCTCCGCCGCGCTCCGTCGCGCGCCACTGCCTCGGTCGACGCAGTAGGTCCGTCCGTCCTCGGGCACCTCAGTCCGCCCGCCGCCGCCCGACAGCCCCCGGCCTGCCGGCGTCCCCGCGGCCGCCGGCGGCCCGCGCTGCTAGCCGAGCGCCAACAGGTGCCTGGCGAGCCGGCGCCGACGGCGGCGGCGGCTGTCGTCGCCGGCGTGCGTGCGTGAACAGGCGGTCAGCTGGCGGCGGCGCGCTATTTCCGTCGCGGCGGCCGCCAGGAGCGTGACGTCACCGCGCAGCTTCGCGCGAATTCCATTCATCAGAGGGCGGCCGGACGGCTGTTAATGAGCTCGTTAGCAGGCAAACAGCGTGTATATATCGGAGTCGGCCGGCAGCTAGGCACGCGCCGAGACGCCGCCGGCCACCCGGTCCAGCCGTCCGCCCGGAGCGCCGCTCCACTGCGCCGTCCACCCGCGCCCTGTGGACGGCGCTCGGCGGCGCAAACGGCCGGAGACGGCTGGCGCCCGCCGATCTACGCCTGCGACGTGCGTCTGGGGTGGACGCTGATGACGAAAGCCGGCCCGGCCCGCCTGCCTGAAGTCTAGCGAGTGTCTTACAAAACGTGGAGGATGTCAACGCAGCCAGCTGAACACCTGCCCGGACGCCCCAGCAGAGTTCTGCTGGTCGGAGCGGGGCTGACGCGGACCGGACCTCGGGCCGCCGCCTCACCACCTGCTTGAGGGCGATCGATGACCGGAGAGCGCTGCTCTCGCCCGGCCACGGAACGGCGTCAATCCGCGGCCAACCAGCACGGCACAGGCTTCGCGCCCACAGCCCTCTGAACTCGGCGAACATTACTCAAATGAACAGCCTCATTTGTCCGTTTTCGGCTTGAGGGTTCCAGAGGGAAAAACAGCTCCCAGGAGACTGGATGATTTATGCAGTTGGACGCGCAAACGACGAGAAAACGACTCGCTGGGGTATAAAATCACAGTTGGCAAATCAGGCTGCGCCACCATACCCACCTCTGCATAATGATAAGTTCGAATCCCCAACACTACCCTCATGCAGTTTCGTTGCCACAGACGCACACAGTCGCCAGTGGCTCCCGTACGGCAGCCAGTCACCTCACGCCGACCATGACCTCACCTGACTTTGGAACTGGGTATGTTGGGGTCGCTGTGTTTCCGCTTCTCTCGCGTGTGCCGCTGCAACAGACAACAGGCTCCGTGAGAAATCATGCTGTGCTCCCCGCACACAGGGCAGCGCCGACCAACCACACCGGCGACATCTATCGGCTGAAGACGAAACCACAGTTTCGCGTCGCGCTGCCAGTCGGAGGCTCGACGCGCATCAAAATTCCGGGCCGGTCCGCCTCCCACGTGGCGGCGTCGTTCGTCGCAGCACGCTGTTAGCGTCGTAGATTAATCAGGCCATCGGACGGGCGGCCCAGACCACCAGCCGGGGCTGGGGCGCGCGCCAGCGATCTGACTCCGGCAGCCGCCGCCGTCCAGCCGCGCCGACCGGCTCGCGAAAGCCGTCAAAAAATCTGCACAAATTTGATTCATGGCTTGGGCTTGCACTGGTAGGAAAATTTACGACGTGGAAAGTGCATCGTAAATATCAAGCGGACTTTACGATTGATTGCAAGCGCGAACACCTGACGCCCGAACCTTCAAAAACAGTAACAATTTGCAACCGTTCTAATGCCGCGGTTGAGCCACCGGCGTCCTTCTCGCGCCCATCTCTCCGCCCGCTGGTGGTGCTCATTTAGCGCGTACGAACGCGCCGTGCCGGGCTCCGCATGCCAACCCGTGACCCCTGGAGAGTTCCCGGCCCCGTCTGGTCAGGGCGCGGGCCGAGTTTGAACCGAGCGGCCGCGCCGCAGCCGGCGCTCGTCCACGGCTGCCGGCGAAGACACGACCGCACCCGGCTCCCGCCTGGGGCGACACAGCGCCACTCGGACATCTCACTAATGTCCTCGGGAACGCGACTGGCACCTGTGCGTTGGTTATTTCCATGCAGCCCATAACACGCAACGCTGCCATTCTGACATGATAGGGATATGAATCCACGTTCCACATCCCCCCAATCGGCATTCATAACCCGGCCACGCCGCGCCCCGGTGCGCCACAACGGGTTCATGCTAGGCCCATTGAAGGATTTTGCAGTGGAGCTTGCGGTGAATTTAACCCGCAAAACTCCAGTCTTGAACAACCGTCCTACAGCGTGACCGAGACGCCGAAGTTATGGAGGCACTCGGGGCACAAGCGAGGCCAGAAGTCTCGCCCGCGCCGCGCTATGAATCTCAGCTACTGGAGGTCGGGATCAGCCTCCCCCCTACCGTGGAACGCAGGCCTCGCGACTGAGCCACACCTATCTCCGCCTCTCAGTGGAGAAGACCAGGCGGACGGGCCCCTAATCACGTGCGGTCGCGCGCCGGAAGGCTTACTCCCGGCAGCCAGTCGGCTCGTCACGCGTCGTCACGGCGGCCGGTCATCTCTAAACTTAGCCGGCCACCCCCGGCCCACCGCGACACAGGACAGCGCTCTCCTGAGGCCGGGCGAACCCAGTCCGCTCACGCCACACGTGCCACGGCGCAGCCGGAGGACAGCGGTCGGCACCGCTCCACCCACGCCCATTCACGCTCGACGGGAGCCGAGCGACGCGACCACGCGGCCCGTTTTTCCCCGGCGCGTCGGCCGGCCGGCGAGGGGCGGAGCTGTTTTGCCGCGCGGCTCGCGCGCGGCTAAATGCCAGTTCCTGTTATTGCCGCCCGGTCCACTGATCGGCCGCCAACCACCACACGTGCTGCGCTCTCGAGCGCTGGAAATACCACCGCAAGGCCGGCGTCCCCAGCGTGCATCACAGCGGCCGGCCGCGCGCCGTCCCCGGAGGCGGCGGCCGAAGTTGGGCCCTGCGCCCCGTGCGCTCCGACGCCACTTGGCCGGCACGGGGCCGCAACTTTCCGGCGGTCGGCTCTAAGTCGCGGCCGACGTGGTGCGCCGCTCCGGCGCCGGCCGGCCGGCAGCCGAGGGCGGGCGGCCGGCGCGCGGCGTGGCGCTGATTAATGGGACGGCGGCGCCACGCGACGCCGCCGGCGACGGCCCGTCAGCGCCGCCGCCGCCCCGGACAGCGGCTGGGAGGACGGGTCATCAGCGCGGCAACCCATCAGCGGCCGACGCCACGCCCGGGCCGCCACCAACGCCAGCGCAACGGCACGGACGGACCACCAGGGCAGGCCCCTCCCCCGCAGGGCCAGCGGCGGGGACGTGCCACTGGGCCCACGCCGAGACGGCGGCAAGGGCGGACCGCCGGCAGACCGGCGCCGCGCAATTCACCGAGTCGTTTTGCGTTCACTTCGCGAATGGTCCACGACCGCCCACTATCGCCACGAGCACCGCCCCACCCAACAACGCCAAGAGATCAATACCAGGATTGTATTCAGGTGGCGGGTGATTTCAGAACCCCATCGCTCTTTGGCGTTTAATATCGGCATCCGAGTTTATTTTCAGGCGTCTCCCTTCGTTTCTATGACTTTCGATGACTATCTTTTCAGCGATACTGCGGTCATGGTGATGATAAATCGCTGGAATCTAAGCCATCCAATCAACCAGTGATTGATCACGAAACAATGGTTCTTTCCACACCCAGAAGTGACGCAGCGATATCGGGTTGGTCACGCAAGTGCTGCCATCATAACCGGATTCAGCTACCGTGTTTATACCAAGCAATCGTGACTAACAGCGTCCTGATTCTCCCACAACCAACCATAGCTATGAGCCCATACAGGTTTTGGTCCCAGCGGCAGGTTCCACACGGTACGATTTCCGCAATCATCTCGTATGTTCACCACATGTTTCAACAGGTCACCGTGCGATCCAGAAGTGCCTTTAAAGGGCGTCTCGCTGTCGGCGCCCTCCCAGCTGTCGGGATCCCCGGGTCGGGGAGCCGCCCACCACTCACCCGGCTGGCCTGGCGTTCGCGGTGATCGCGGTAGCTCTCGGACCGCGTGATGGACGACGAGGACGGCTTCTTCCCGATCTGCGGCAGCCCGCTGCGAAGCGACAAACGCGTCAGCACCAGCCGGCGGCCCCGCAGTACGCATCCGCGCATCTTACGATAGCGCGGCAAAAACTCACAACTCCACACGGAACTCACGCACACACATACGCATACACATACAACGTTCGTCGTTACACGGGGCGTTGGGAGGGCCGGGTCGCGCCGGCGCCAGGCACCGCGCGAGGGACGCCACGCACCGGACGGGCGACCTGTCGGGAGAGTTCTGCGGCGGCACGGGCAGCCGCCGGCGCACCGCCTCCTCCGCCGGCTTGTGGCCGTTGTGCAGGCGCGGCATAGCCGGTCACGCGCGACGCGGGCCGCTCGGCCGGTCACCGGCCCTGTCTTCGGTCCCGGTGCCTCGTCCGTCGGCGGCAGGCACGCCGTCACTGTCTGCCACCACCGGTGACTGGCGCGGCTCCAGCCACCCAGCCCTCGACGACCGGTGACCGCGTCTTCCGATGGTGCGCCGTCACTGTTCGACGCCGCCCATGACCGCCCGCTCCGACGACACCGTCACTGTTTACTGTTCTCGGTCAGAGTCGGTTGGGCCCGTTGAGCGCGCAACACCGCCAGTCACTGTTCTCGGCGCACGGACGTCCGATCCGCCGCCGCTGCCGCTCCCCTCCACCAACGCCCGCGCTCCCTGCGAGAGGAGCACCGTCAGCGTCGGCCGGTGCGGCGCGCCGCTGCCGCCGTCGCCGGCCGGGACGCCAGCTGCCGCGCCGCTCCACCGCTCCGCCGCTCCTCCGCCGCGCCCGTCCGTCGACACACAGGAAGCGTCAGGGCGCCGCGGGCGAGAGCCGGCCGTCCGCCCGCGGCGGCCGCGCTTCCGCCGCCGCCCGGCAGCGCCTTGCAGCCGCGTTGCGGAGCCGGCCCCGGTCAGCCATTGATCGCGAGGCCGTCCCGCGCCGCGGTCGCAGCCAATCAATGGTCTCTGTGCGGCGGCGGCGGCGGCGGCGGCGGCGGCGGCGGCGGCAACGGTCGAGTGACGCGCGCCGTGGCGAGCCGGTCATGTGTCGCGACAAGCGCCGCTGCTCCCATCGACACCGACGCCGACGCCGACACCGACACAGCCGGCCGCCAGACGGACGTCCGGGTCGCGGCCGCACGCGTACACGGGCATCAGGGGTCGCCGGCGACGCGGCGCTGCGGTCGGCGGGCCGTCGGAATCAATGCCAACGGCGGAGGCGCCGCGGCCGGGATCCGGCTGGTGTCGCAGACGACACGCGGAGCGTCCCGCTGGGACGGCGGCACGTGCCGCGCGACACGGCTCCAGTCACGGCAGCCGTCGCCGCGGCCGGCTGCCCGGCGTCCCGGCGGCGGAGGAGCCCGGCCCGGCGGCCGGCCGGCCGGACCGGGCACCGGATCCAAGCCCAGAGCCGAGCCGAGCCGAGCCGAGCCGAGCCGAGCCGTCGGCCGACCGACCGACCGACCCACCACTAACCGGGACGCCCGGGGGCCGGAAGCCGCCGACCGCAGCTGATAGCGCGACGCCCGGGGATGGCGTCACCGCCAGCGCAGCCGGCGGCGGCGCAGCGGCTGCCGCACGCTGAACCGGCCCCGTCGCCAGCGCGGCCACCAAAATGACCCGTCCGGACCGGCAACACTCACGGACGGCGCGTGAGATGCAGAGCACACGGCCACCGCGGACCGTCGTCCCGGACATCCGGTGGACAGCGTCACCGCGCCTCAGGACGAGGGGTGGGTGGGGCGTTTTTGTCATCTACGCGTGACGCAAGCGCTGATGCCTCAAGGAATGTTCATCGCACTATCCAAACAAAAAACGCCGTGAAAACCCCAGAGACGCCTGTTCTTGCGCTTGATAACATCGGGCGCCTTCACACAAACTGAATGACATCATAACACCGCATCAAGCACCTCCGTCGGCCAGTCCAGCCGCCGAGATCACCGACTTGGCTCGCCGGCCCCACCTGCACTAAACCCCGACGCGCGGGGAAAGTGCGGCCTGATCTCCTCCGACCTCCAGCTTCTCAGCGAGGCGGCTGCCTGATCCGGCCGGCCGTGACAGCGAGCCCCGCCGAGACCGAGACCGGCCGGGCCGGGCCGGGCCGGGCCGGCTCGGGCGCCGGCGGAGGTAAGCCGCCGCACGTCAAGTAGCCGGGACGACTTCTCCCCGGCGGCACGCCGCATAGCATAGGGGTGACGTCGGCCCACAGCTGCCCGACACGGCCGCGTCGTGACTGGCCACGCGAGCTGGATGGGGAGACATTTTCCGTGCTTGACCTTCCATACCCTTACCCGGTGAGTGTCCCTGCTTCTACCATTTCTTTTCTTCACCCGGTGAGTCAGAGCCAGTGATTCACGACTCCCCCACGGCAAGGTGATGAAACGGTCCCAACTGAGTAGTCGGCCGTCCTCATCGCAGATCGGGCCCCTGTAGCGGCAAGGCGAGCGGCCGCAATCATGCGGAACAATGGTGGGCGTGCCGAGTTTGAAGCGGACTCCAGGATCAATCGTGCCAAGTCACGTGAGACCCACTGCTCGTTGGGTCTCCCGGCACGATTGCACGTGTTCCTTTTGGCCTCTTTAGCTCGGAGGACGTCCACGTCCGCCCTCTCTCCACCCTCAATGTCGCGACCCGACCCCCGGGGCGACGGCTCGACCAGACCGTCCGCGTGCGACTCGATCGCGACCCGGAGGTGAAGCGAAGGACCTGTGCTCATGCGTGCCTCTGCGAAACCGCCAACACCGCCGGGTAAAACAAACGGCCAGATATCTGAAGCGCCAGTGTGTCTCTGCGGGGCCGCTTCACGTCCGTCGTCGCCTGCCGCGCGGTCGACGGCCGCAGTCCGCCCGGCAGCCCGACGCCGTCGCTGTGGCATGGTCTGGCCCGGCACCGGCGCGCGCGGCGGTCCCGGCGCCTGCGGACGGCCCTGCCCCGTATCGCCGGCGGCGCCGTAAAAGCGTCCCGGCCATCTGGCGGCGACCCGGCGGCGGTATCTCGGCCGCCCAGCCCCGCCCCGCCGGCGCACCGCCGGCCCGCCGGCCGCACGCAGCGGGGCTCGGTCCGGACGGCGCGGCAGCGGAGAGGTCGCCTCGTAGCTCGCTGGAGACGCGCGCCGAGACGGGCCCTGCTTGGCGGAGGCATGGGACACCGGACGGAGGTGCTACATCGGACGAAACCCCGCCACCGCGGATCCGGGCACACCGGACGGAGGTGCTACATCGGACGGAGCCCCGCCACCGCGGATCCGGGGACACCGGACGGAGGTGCTACATCGGACGGAGCCCCGCCACCGCGGATCCGGGGACACCGGACGGAGGTGCTACGTCGCACGGAGCCCCGCCACAGCGGATCCGGGGACACCCGACGGAGGTGCTACATCGCACGGAGCCCCGCCACAGCGGATCCGGTCAACGTCGCAGAAGCGCGGGGCGGCGACGGGAACGTGAAGTCGAGCAACAGGCCCCGGAGCGCGGGCCCACAGGCTCCAATCGAGCGTTCCAAAATTCATGCCATGGGATGTATAGCGTGTAAATATAAGTCAATGCTATCGGAACCCTGGCTCTACGGCATCCTCCGCACGCAATTCGTTGGCGCTAATCCGTTGCCCCTTGACCCGAAAACCAGACATCCGACCCGCCCGGCCCATTTGTCAAGCATGCGGCGCTTAGACACTCAGTTGACCGCTACCCAGTTCGATGGTGATTGACCGATTTCGAGCAAGGGGAGGGGCAAACGGCAGTGGACCCCAAGCCAGGATGTAATGGCATGAAAAAATCCAATCCCCGCCACCCATGTGGTCGGATATTGGAACACCGCTCCGAATCGACGCCGGCTGCTGCCCGCCGCTGTCCAGCTGCCGCCGGAGCACCGCTGGAAGCGGAGCGCTCGCGGCGTGCCCCGCGGGCGCCAGCGTTCTGGACCAGCCAGCGGCGACTGAGCGGCAGTGACAGGGGGTCACCGAGCCGTCCGTCAGACCGGCGGACGGCTGTCAGGCGGCCGGCGGCCGGCCGCGGCCCGCCAGGACGCCACTCCGGCAGCCGCCCACGGCCGGGCCCTCTGGCGGCGCTGGCACGGCCGCCCGTCGGCCGGCGTTAATCACCATTGGCAGGCGCACGTGTCGCCTCCTGGCAGCCGGCCGGCCTGAGGTCCGCGGCCCGTCTCGGCCCGATTACGGTGGGCACCGCCCCCCCCCCCCCCCCCTCCTCCCTCCTCTCCCTCTCCCCGATGTCGGTGGAGGAGCCGCAGCCGCTCCATGCCCGGCCGCCGCGGACGGGCGCCGCTGCTGCCCCGGCGGCCGGGCTGGACCAACGGCTGCCGAACGGCCACCGCCGCCGCCGCCGCGGCATCGAGCGGCGCCGATGAATGGTTCGCTCTGCGGCCACAGCGGCCGGCCCGCGCTCGGCGGGTCGATGGGGAACACCGGACGCTCTTGGAAGATGGTCGCAGCGCCGACCGCGGCCGGCACGGCGCGACGGCTGGCGACCACCCACCGTCACCGCGCCGCACCAGCGCGGCGGCCTCCTGCGGCGCTGCTCTGATCGGGCGGTGCCGCAGCGTCGGCACGACGCCGCAGCCGTCCCTCTGCCGCGGCAGCGTCCACACGGAATCGCGCCGGCCCTGCAGGGACGATCAGCGGCGGCACGCGGAGCGCTCTGTTTTCTCACACAACAGGCCTCGCTCGCCACAGGCCGCCAGATCGGAGCCGCACCGCCACACCGGGGGCCACATCGCGCGCTGGCTCCCCGGCTCCCGATCCGTCGCGCTCCGACGCTATTCCGGCCCGGGGGCCGCGGCAACTGCGGCGATGACGATGCGACTACGATGGCAACGATGACGACGATGACGGCGACAAAAACGACACCGACGAAGACGATGACGACAACGACAACGACCACGACGACGACGACAACGGCGCGGCAGCGACGGCAGCGGCGGTACGCCCACGCACCCGTCACCCACACTCGCCCGGACGGCGCGCGGCCAGCACTGGCGCCGGCGGTCGTGCCGGGCCGGGCCGGGCCGGCCGGGCGGCGCGCTCGGCCCGGCGCCAGCACGATCCGCCGCGTCGGCGGCGGCGCGCCCAGACTCCGGCCGCCGACGGCCCGACCCGACCCGACCCGACCCGGCCCGGCACGACCCGGCCCGGCCCGGCATGACCCGACTCGGCCTGACCCGGCGATTTCGTCCCGGCCTGACCTAACCTGGCGCCCCGGCCGGGCCCGGCTCTGACCTGGCGCTGACCCGGCTGTCGCCAGCCGCGACCGGCCACCGTTCGCTGGCTGCTGGCTACCTGCCCTGTCCGACGCCACGCACGGCGCCCCTGCCTGACACCGTGTCAACACGTCAGCGCGCGGCCAGCGGTGGCGCGCCAACTGGTCAGCTGTACCGCTGCCAGGAGAGTGGAAATAAAACATTTACCGTATTGATTGGCGTTGAGCGGGGGCCGCACGTCAAACAGAGTCGGGCCAACATCGCCCCCCTGTGAACGCTGGAGTCGACGACCTTGGCAGCATATTTGAGGCTTTTAGGAGAATTGTGGCCAAGCCAACAAACTCCAGGGGGAGGGGTAGGTGCAGGTGCAGGTGCAGAATTATTTTGAGTGGTTCTGGGATCGGACCAATCTGTCAATCAGGGAATCAATGACTTGCCTTGAGCAAGGCTGCCAACGCGCGGCGGCTCTGATCCCTGCGCTGAGTTATGGCCATGCAGCGGTTGAGCCACGGCACATGGTTCGTCACAGATACAACGGCTGTCTTGTATAAGTCTAGTAGTGTGGAATGATGGAAGTGTAGCTAAACCAGGACACTGTCGCATCATTGGGGACAATGGCGGTTAGGGCCGTTAACATCAGGGAAAGCAAGCACTAAGCTTATCCTGGTGTACGGAAATAAACGAATAATAATGCTTATGAGCCCCACTTCCACAAAACAAAAAATTTGGTCAGACCCCGCGCTTCTGAATGGCCGTTAAGAGAAGTTCTGCAGCGGCAAAACTCAACACCGCTCACCGCTGTGATGCGTTTTTTTCTATATGAATAATCAACCCGGGTTAGGCCGCTGGTATGATCATTTCTCAAATGGGTGCCCTTTGCAAAAGCTAGCGCGGCCAAGTTTCCTCGACGCACAGCAGCATCGGCTCCCTACATGCGACACGACTTTCGTCACAAGTGCTTTTCTAATGTGCGTGTGACAACGTGCTGGCTGCTTGCTTAGTCATTCAGCGATGCGGCGCCCGATAAGCCACAGAGAAAAATGTCACATTTAGGAGAAATGGTCACAGTATGAGCATTTTGGTTTGATGACCGAAAATTGCTTGTTGGATAAATTAGCATTGGCATGGCGCTCGTTGGTCAACTCTTCGTTTATTGAATTTCCTGACATTCGGAAACGTAACCAGCGCATTTTGCCTAGTTTGGTCAGAAATGGTATCAGATCTGGTACCCTGACATTCGCCTGGATAAGAATGGCAATCTTCCTCCTGCAAGGAGTCCAGGGATCCCATCCAGTGACGCGGTCCGACAACTACACAAAGCTGCCGTGCCAGATCATTCCAACGCTGACAGACTCCACCGGCGTCGCCCATTTCGCGCGGCGCTGCGCCGTCCGCCCGCTGCAGCCTGGCAGCCGCGGCCCGGCTCTGCAGGCGGCGGCCGCTCAGCTGGCGGCCGGACAGCGCCATCCGTCATACAGTTCAGCAACGCGACAACAGATGGCAGGCCGGGCGGAGGCGGCCGTCGCGCGTCGCTGACTCCGCCAAGGACAGTTAGCACCGCCCACAAGTCGAACGCCGCTGGAGTGTTTGAGCTCGTCACAAGTTTGGAGCGACGGGCGCTGCTATGGACGGGGTTCAGTGCCCTTGCATCATTGCAGGGGATCATAAACTAGCAGCTCGAGTTGGCATTGCAACATAACCGCAACAATGCGGGCTTGGCAACGAGACGACCTCTCACCAGAAGGCATACTCGCCATGTATCCCCCGCCACTCTGCGACAATTACACATTGAACCATCGTCACCATCCCGACCGAAGGCCAGCACTAAGCCCTTCAATCAGCAAAGCATACGGCACTCCGCAGCCATGCAAACAGACGTGCGGCGGCGGCAGCCCTGACCCGACTACAGCGCCGGCCGGGGGTGGAAGTCCGCCGGGTGGACGGGTGGTCCGCCGCCGCCGCCGCCCAAACAAACAGCCGGCCTCCCGGCGACGGTGGCCGGCCGCCGCCGGGAGTCCGGCCGGGTCCAGCGACAGCGCTGACCCGGACGGCGGCGCGCCTCGCTCTCGGCCAGCCCCGCTCATCCATCGGCGATGCAGATGACGGACCAGGTGACTCAGTGAGACCGGACAGCGCGGATATGGTCAGCCGGCTGACTCACCCGCCGCTTTCGCGCTGCGATGGCCCCGGCGCGGCCGGCTGGACACTGGCACTGAGCCCGCACCGTTATGACCTCCGTGTCGAACATCAGGTGGGGCGCACACTGGCCAGTGGCATGGTGTTTTCGACCGCTGCATCCACATTCGCGTGTTCGTCCGTCGAAATACATGGCTATAATGAATACAAGCTGTGTATGCCTGTCGCTTCCAAATTGATTTTTGGTGGGATTTTACCTCCCCCCACCAACCTAACAGGACGCAAAAAGATTAGCTGATTGGCGAAGGAAACCGCCATTGTTTCAAATTGAAATATTATCCTTCGGGTGCGCAAATCCGGGCATGAAAAACCGTGCGAATATTTCAACCGTCGATGGTGTGGAGGACCTAGCGTGATTGGTCCGCCAACTTTCCTCAAACTATAGAGGTGGTCATTGCCGCCTGTCCTCCGGTCCAACAGTCTGGGCGGCGGCCGGAGTCGGCGGCGTCAGCAACCGGGACTGCCGTCCGTTGTCCGGCCAACACATCGCGCACGCCCCACGGGCCCGCAGCTTCGACCGCTGCCCAACCGGCCTTGTCCTTCCCTGGCCCGGAACCGGTCCACTTCCTACCCTCCAGCCAACCGTGCTCGTAGGAACCGGAGGCTGTCGGGCGGCGTGGGTCTTCCTCCCCTCCCCGAGCGGCCGTCCGCAGCGGAGGCTGTCGGACATCCGGCGGCGTCAGCTGCTCTCCTTCGGGCAGCTCTGCTGCTCCCGGTCTTGTGCGGACGGCTCAGGTTCGCGGTGTATATTCGGGCGCTGCACATTCGACTTGGCCGGACTAGGTCGGTCTGAACCATATGATGCATTCCTCGAAGTTCACCAGCTTCGAGAAAAACCGGTCAGATGACGTGTAGCTATGCTGATTTCCATGCATCCACCGTAGCACTCCCAGTCTTCCAGCCCGATGATCAGCCATCACGCCACCCGGTTCACCGGGCGGGTCCCAGGCGACCCAGACCGCCATGGGGGCCGCGCGGACTCATGCCGATCCCCCGAGGGCCAGCCCTCCGGCACGGGCCAGCGCGCAGCCTGCCGACGCCGGCTGCTTCAGCGGAGCGGCGTGGCAGCCGTCATCGCTGGGAGTGGCGCCGCGCCGGCCCGGGCCGCATCGACCGGGCCCGAAATACGCCGCGCCGATACTACGGCCGCGCGCCGGCCGCCATAAATATTCAGCGCCGCGCGCGCGCCCGGCCGGCCGGCGCCCAATTTGCCGGCTCCGGCGCGGCGGCGGCGACGGCGGCGGACGTCCCGGTCAGCGCGCCCGACGCGGCGGCGCGGCCCAGTGCGGCACGGGCCGAGACCGTGCACCGACGGCGGCGGGCCGGGCCGGGTGCCACTCACCTGTTGGTGGAGCCGACGTCGGCGTGCTCCGGCGTCTCGTCGCGCCGCTCGTCCTTCTCGGTGACGGTGTCGGGCCGGCGCTGGTCGGCCCGGCCGCTGGCCGGCGCCGCTCGGTCACCTGCAGCAGGGACGGCGCCGGTCAGGCCGACAGCGCGCACGGACGCGGCACGGGCTCGGACTGGGCGCCGCACCAGCCAGCCAGCCAATCACACTGACGACGGCACCGCGCCTCGACACGGGATCGGCGTCAGGGCAGTGGCGGCAGGTTCGACATTAAAACGCGGTCCTCCGGCACATGATCAGAGCTGAGCCATTTCCCACGAAGGCCGCGAGAAGAGGCCCCCGGACTGGTCCCATCGCGGAGAACACAATGGAGAGATCGCTCAGTCCATAGCGTCAAAACGGGTGAACTCGAGGGGGCAGTCAGTCCATCAGTCAGGTACAGCCAGTCACAGTCAACCAGTCGGGCTGGTAATGAGTGCCGGCCCAGCGACGGCGCCGGCGGCAGGCTGCTGGACGGGGTCCCGGGTCCCGGGTCCCGGGTCCCGGACCCCGGTCCCCGGATCCCGGTCCCGGTCCCCGGTCCTCGGCCTCGGCCTCGGTCCCCGGACCCCGGGCCTCGCCCAGGCGATGACGGCCGCGGGGCTCAACAAACAGCAGCTGACGGCCTCGGCGTCACCAGAAAGTGGCTCGGTCGCGCGCGACGTCCCGCAGAGAGAGCCACTGTTGAAACGGGCCCGGCCGCGCTGTTTACAGTGACGACGAACGCGGCAAACACACTCCCAGTCAAGGATGTCCTGAACTTGGGGGACGCCGCCACGTCTGCCGACTGGGCCCGCGACCTTGGTACCGCACGCGTCTTGCCGCGGCGCCGCCGCTCGCCGCCAGAGGCCGCGTCGGCGCACGGCGCCGCGATGCTCAGTCGGCGATACGCATTTCTTTCTCTTGCTGGCGACATCGCGCCGCCGCATTCCAGAGTCGGAACGCATTAAGGGAGAAACCTGCTTCTTCGTCTCATGTTTTTGCTCGCGGCTTTAGCATGGAAACAAGGGGCGGATCCGGTTTGGGTACGGCACTGACGAGTCTGGAACCTGCACGCGCCACGTCCAAGGATCAACGGCATTTGTGACGCAAACGACGCGCTACTGAACAGCGAGCGACTTTTGCCGGCGGCCTGTGGTCCGATGAGCTCGTCCCTCAGCGCTGGCAGCTGGCCGTCTTGTAAAGCGGGGCGCGGCGCCGACGGCAATGGCGCAGCGCCGCCGGCGAGCGACGGCAGCGCCCCTGGCGGCCGGCCGTCGCACCACCGTCGCTGACATGCCCGACCCGATAGCGGGGGCGCGCCTGCCCGCCGGGCTGGCCGCCGGACCGGGCGCAGGTCGACTGCTCTCGGCCTCTCCACAGCCGGCAGCGGCGGAAGAGCGTCAGCGCATGTGCCCGCCCGTACGCCATCCCTGGTCGCGGAGCCGCTGTCGAGCCGGGCCGCTATCGCCGCCGGCGCCACGTGTGCGCCCCGGAGCCACGTGCGCGGCCGGCGACGCCGGGCGGGGCCGGAATTCGGTCGCCGCCGGGGTCACCAGCGCCGCGCGAACGGCTTCTACGAGAACACGGCCCGGCCAACCCGCCGATAAATTACCCTTGCGCAAGACAGCCGGGCCGGCCGGCTCGGAAGCAGCGGGGCCGCCGCGCCGTCACGCGCCGCCCCGCTGGCAGGTCGAGCGGCGGCGGCGGGTCGACGCTCTGATTGCCCGGCCCGGCCGACAGTCCATCATTACGGGCCGCCGGCGTCTGACGGCCGCCGGCGCCGGCGCCGCCCCGGCCACGTCGACCCTCCGGCGGCCGGGGCCTCAGGGAGCGGTGCGGCATGCCCCGGTGCTGGCACGCCGCTCCCCCGCCAGACGCCGCCGCCTGCCGACTCCTGCGAACTCGCGGAATGTCCCGGGGCAAGATGCTGAGTTAGGGCTCAGCCCTGTCAGCATTCAGAATACGTAATGGCCGTTCAGGCTTGCCATTATGTAAATCGTACTTTCTTGGCATTCACCTGGCCCTGTTAAGCTTCCAGGGCTTTGATGCAGTTAGTTATGCTTATATCTCTGCAGAAGCACAGCATCATCGTACGTCATTTGAGCTGATAGCCGGCATCTAGGGAATCTGATGCAATGCCATCATGGGTTCGATCGGTTTACGGCCGATTATCATACGAATTCCGATGAGTTAACGTACGGGAACCATCGTACACTTCGCTCTCCAACGATACGGTCCATATCTCTGTGCAATTCCCAGACCCCTGACAAGCCGTGCAGGGCGAGCTTGGAGACTGTGCTGTGCCGGTCGCACCCACCCTGCAGTGCCGACGGATTCACGCTATTTATCCGAGACGCACGCTTGCGCGCGCACGGGTCAGGAATGCTGCCAAACACCCTGTAAAACGCGCCGACCCATGCGATCGAGGTTGCTGCCGAGCGTCTCCAGCCAGCAGAAGTCAGCGGCGTCGCCTCTCACCATGCGTCTGGCTTCGCTCGCCGGTCTACTGCGCACCGCTCCACAGTGAGCCGCTGCTGTCAACTCCGCGCGCGCGGCAACACAAATTGAGGCCACTTACGAGCGGAATCTGGCGACACGGGCCAGCCAACGGTGGGCGCCGTCTTTCCTGGACCTCACACGGCGCGGCCAAGGCCGGCGGAGTCAGCCGGCTGGAATGGCGGCGTTGTGACGGTCTCGGCGGAGGAGCGCGGGCGCCGAGGGGCCGGTCCGCCGCTGTGCACGACTGGCCTCGCCGGACGCGCTCCACAGGTACACCACTGACCTTGCTATTCACGCTCTAAGGCACGCTACGGACGACGACGAGGTCAGGGGAAGACCTCCGACGGCAGGGCAAGAACACAAGTCACATGCGGCATGCGGTCGACATGCGGTTCCCTCCGCCTAAGCAGTCCCTCGCCGCGAATTTCCGGCTGGCTGCGCCGGATCCCTGTCGACCGGAGCCGGCCGGGACCGTCCCGTTCACCAGGCGCCACCGAGCCGTTCTCCCGCCGCTGAGGGGTCGTCCCCGGCGGGAGTCTAGCGTCGGCGGTAGGCGGCCAGTTGACGCTCCCGCCGCTCTCTCCGGCGTCATCAGGCCATCTCCGCCCCGTCCCGTGATTCACGCCCGCTGCCCGCCGGCGAGCGCCGCTGCGGCACGACCCGCCCGGGACCCTGACCCCGGCCGGGTCGGCGCGTCCCGTCCCGTGCGCGGCCCGGCCGTCCGCCCCGCCCGGGCCGCGGCGGCGCCGGGCCGGCCGCCGGAGCCGGGGCCGCCGGCGCCACCACCGCCGCGCCCGCGCAAGTCTGCACGCACGACGAGGTGACGTGCAGATGGCGAGGGCGCCGGATTCCGCCCGGCCTGTCAGGCGCGAGCGCGGCGCACATGCCGCGCCGCACCGGACAGCACAAGGCTGCGGACGACGCGCCGATCCATTTCCATGCGCCAATTCGGAGCAGCGATGATGAAGCGACACATGTCAGATCGGGCGGGTCACATTCCGGCCCGTCAGAGCGGCTGGGCTCGCAGTGTCCGGGGCCTGCGGCGCCGGCAGTCGCCACGTCACGCGCGCCAACATGCATGGCGTGGGACCGCAGCCGCCGGCGCACCCGGCCAGCCGCCACTTAACGCCACGACCGTCCGCAACGCGGCGCGACTGAGACGCCGCAGTTCACACGAGCGGCCGTCACGAACGACGGCGTCAACGTCCGAAACGGGGCGGGCGGCGCCGGCGCGGCCGGTGACCGGGCGTCGCCACCCTCTCCCACGGGTCTGACGTGTCAGTGGCGCGCCGCCGCCCCTCGCGCGGCGCCGAGCTCCCAGAACTGAGACGTCACCGGCGCGGGGCCGATGCGAAGCGCCCGGCGCCCGGCGGGGTCGGGAGTCCCGCCGCCGCCTGACGTGTCCCGCGTCTGGAGGCCCCCGAAGCCGTGGCCGCCTGACGCGTCCGTGACCGGAGGCTGGGAGCGGCGCGTCTGACTCAGCCGCCGCCGTGCCGCAGGAAGCCGACCGTCGATTAGCCGGAACACTGCCGCGCAACCAGGCAGCCGGGCAGCCGGGCAGCCCCGTCGCCTTCCCCGGCCCGCCCGCCCAACGGCCACGCCACGCCGCTGCCCAGCAGCAGCGGCGCAGCGCGGTGAGGTGCGGGCTGTCGACACGGGCCACAGGGCTCGGCGGCGCCGTGTCGTAGCCCGCCCGCCCCCTCGTGTCCGCGTGTTCGTCCGTGCAGGCGTATATCGATCGGTATGCCGCCGCGGTGTGCGGGCGCTGGCCGTGCACCTGGCCGGCGGCGGACGGGGGGAGCGGGCGGCCAGGTAGATCGGGGCCACGCCGGGCCCGCCGGCCAGCAGCACACCGCACCTCGGACACGCTCGCCGGCCCTGCCGATCAATCATACTCGGCGGACACGGCCGACGGCCACTGAGGCGGCCGCGAACCCCGAGTCACGTGCGCGGACCACGCTCGATACAGAGGGCGTGGCCTCGTGGAGTTAGGGCACCTGAGCCCTGTTGCCGGGCCGGCAGGGGTGGCATGCAGATTGAGCCGGGGCCGGGCCGGGTCACCGGGTCAGAGTTCGCGGAGGGCAGACGCACCGGGCGGGCCGGACGGCTACAAGCGGGAGCGGGTCGGTCGGCGCGGCTCGCTCCGGCGGGGCGCCCGGCCGCAGCCGACCGCCGCACGTAAACAGATCTGTGTCGACGAGCGGCGACGGGCGGCCGGACGGCCCGCTGCGCGGCGCCGGGACGGCCGGGCGAACGGTGACGCGGTGCGCCGCAGCCCGCGCCGCGCACAGCTCGCGCGTGGTGCCACGACAGCGGTCTGAGCTCGCGGGAGCCACCGGCCCGGGCCAGCGGCGCCGCGCTGACGTGACGAGCGGTGACGCCGGACCGGGAGCGCCCGAGCTGCCGACGACGGCACGCCCTGATCTACCGCTCGTCGCAGCGCGATGGGACCCGCTCCCACACAGTTCGGCCGGCCGAAAAACTAGCGCTCGGCGCGCTGACGAAAATAGGCCCGTGACGTCAGTCGGCCGGGCGTCCGGGCAAAAAGGGGCGCTGCGGCGGGCAGAGGACGGCGGGCGGCGAGAGGGACGGAGA